AAAACACGCGCGTATTCGAATGCAACGTTGTGTCAAAATTTCAAAGCAATCGGTGAAGAACTTTCGGAGATTTAAGATTTTGAACAAATGAACATTTACATTTTTATTTATATAGATAAACAGTTAAGCAGGATAGAGATGCTGGTGAGTCCAAAGGAAATCATGGTCACCACTCTTCTCTTTGATACAGAATATTCATCTTAGATCAGACCTAGGCATTTTATGGCCCCTGGGCCACATTGAGCCCTTTGGCTATCACTATCTGGCCGATGTGACAATAAATGGAAATTAAAAATTAAATGTAAATAAATATATACCGTGCACAAAGTACAACTGCATTATTTTTATTTTGAAAGCAATTGCTATTTTTTTTTTCAATTTATGTATGCTCATGTATGCCTGCCCGCCATAACAGCCCTATTGGTTCAGCCATGCACAACAGTCCCAGTTTCTCATGTGGTCTTTGGAAAAATTAATTGCCCACTCCTATCTTAGATAGTTTCCCTAGGTTTATAATTACTGGGTTTTTTTAGATACATTCTTAATGTCTGAACAAAACAATTATAAATTCCAATAAATAGTTAAACATAGACAAAAATTGTACCTGATAATATTTAGCAGCAGCTTTCATCCCTTCATCACTGTCAAGATTCTGTTCTGATGCTATTTGACTGGCCAATGCTCCACAATTAAATAACACGCATGTTTTCTCGTAGCCTAAACTTGCCAGAGCTGAAACAAAGGTCATAAAATCAACATTCTTATCTATAAATCAAACAGTAATGAAGTCTATACTAATTAATAAAAGCACAAACATCTAATAATATACATCAACAAATCTGCAGATCTGTGGAACTCATTAAGTTATACACAATCCTTTTTTAAAAAATCAAAAATATTAGTTGATTTCCAGGTGATCAAATTGCTAATAACTAACCTTAAAGCTATTATGATTTAAGATGAAAATATTTAAAGAATTGTTATTGTAGTCATATCACTGTGCTGTTTGTCTTTACTGGTTCTGGGTAAACACAACTAGCTTGATTTCTTGAAAAGTAATTAAGATGGTTCCATTTTCAATGGAGCTGACAACCACAGCAAAATAAAGAGCCAGTGAATGGACTGACTCCTTAGAATTCCAGACCAAGGAGAGGACCTGGTATTGGCCACAAGCATTCCATACAATGGTTACGCAAAAGGAGATCAAAATATAGCGTGTCTCCAATAGATTTTAGAGTTCTCCAACCCAAGTGAAAGTCATTGCTGACGAAGTTGCAGTTCAGAACAAGGACTCTGGATTTGTATACTTGGGTTTCTTAATCAGTTCTGGAAATTGCTTGTATGACAAGTTTCCTTTTATTCCTTGCAAAATAAATTTTATGCAAGTTTAAAAAAATTTAAAAAATCCTACTTGAGAATAAACAGCTGATGAGTGATTAGAAAATTGATTTTCAAAAATCAAACAGACTAAGGAATCAGACAGATTTGAAATAATATTTTAAAATTAATTATCAGTATCCTCCTACCTGTTATTTAAAATTCTATTTAAAATATATGAAGATTTTGAAACTAATATAAATCTACCTGTGATAAAATTCTGTTGAAAAAACATGGTAAGAAAGGTTTTTGAAAATTTGAAACAAGAGAGAACAAGGAAGTTTAATGAAGAGAAGGACAAGCAGTGTTTCAATGATAGCAGTGTTCCAATATCTCAGGGGCTGTCACAAAGAAGAGGAAGTCAAGCTATTTTCCAAAGCCCCTGAAGGCAGGACAAGAAGCAACGGATGGAAACTAATCAAGGAGAGAAGCAACCTAGAACTAAGGAGAAACTTCCTGACAGTTAGAACAATTAACCAGTGGAACAACCTGCCTCCAGAAGCGGTGAATGCTCCAACACTGGAAGTTTTTAAGAAGAGACTGGACAGCCATTTGTCCAAAATGGTATAGGGCTTCCTGCCTGAGCAGGGGTTGGATTAGATGACCTCCAAGGTCCCTTCCAACTTTATTATTATTTTTATTATAGAAAGAACTAAAATTATAGTTAAAGAAAAAGAAACCCACTAATAAAGAATGTAGCAAAATATTCTAATTTTGGAAGAATTCAAGGATATATGGGAATAATGCATCCTGAAGTTATTTTTAAAACGTCTGCTATCATAAAAATGAATATAAAACAAATGATAGAAGAGGACAAGACTGAGGCTTTATAAACATGGATTAAAAATGAACACATTACAAGTAATCATCAACTTACAACAATTCGTTTCGTGACTGTTCAAAGTTACAATGGCATCGAAAAAAGTGACTTATGATCATTTTTAACATCTATGACCATTTCAGCATCCCCATGGTCACATGATCAAAATTCAGATGCTTGAGAATTGACTCAAATTTATGATGGTTGCAGTGTCCCGGGGTCTTATGATAACCTTTTGTAGCATTCTAATAAGTAAAGTCAATGAGGAAGCCAGATTCACTTAACAACTGTGTTTCCAACTTAGTAACTGCAGTGATTCACTTAACAACAACAGCAAGAAAGATTGTAAAATGGGGGCAAGACTCATTTAGCAACTGTCTAACCTATCAACAGAAATTTTGGGCTCAATTGTGGTCGTAAGTCAAGGACTACCTGTACAAGAATGATACAGACTGCAAAAATGTCAATGACCACTAAACCAGCAAAACATTCGTGTTTCTTGGACTATTAGCACACACCTACAAACCACCCAAATATGAATCAAGCTCAGCCCCTGGTAACTCCATGGACACATCAATGCAGTCTACTTGGTAACAGTAAAAATAGATTTCCCTTCATCTTTTTTTTTCTTTTTCTTTTTTTATCTTCCTGTCTAATCTACAATCCTGGTATTTCCTAGAGATTTCACATCCAAATACTACCCAACCTCATCCTACTTATCTTCTGAGACTACACAAAGCTAAATGCTATTGGAATAACAAGTGCATTACCGCTTTACTATCTCCTGATAAAGTTACAAGCTCTATCTAAATACTTTGTATATATAGGAATAAAATCACATATACAGAATATTTCTAATTACCCCTTCTTGCTCCCAGGTGAACAGACTGAGGTTTTAGATTATTTCCCCTGACAAATGAGATGGTGCCTTATATTGACAGGTTAGTCTAACGTTATTAAGTTGGGGTTTACAAAGAAATACATTTTTATAAATATTAAATATTCATACTTTTGCTTTTGGGATATATGTCAAAGTGGAAAAGAATACCAATCTGACTATCAAAATACAAAATAACAATGTGGTTCAATTCTGGTTCTGACTTGATTCTAGTTCCTTTCAACTGACAAAGCACTGAAAGTAGGCAATGAACAGAAAAACCTGAAAGGATATACAGTATTTACACAGATAGATAACTACAAATTGCCTTAACAAATCAAAAACCTTTAGGGTTTGTGAACACAAAGAACATAGTTGCACAATCAACAGAAAGTAGTCTTCTAACACTGCTTTGTTTCTAGGGATCAAAACAAAAGTTATGTTCAAATTCATGAAGGAATCCACATGTCTCTTCTGCAGTGAAAGTGACTTTTAAATAAGAGTCACATGAGATGAGCAGTATAGCAATTTAATAAATAAATAAGCAATTCTTAAAAATATAGTAAGTTAAAGAGGATAATTTAGATTCCATATATTTTGAATTCTGTAATAATTAATTACCAAGTTTGACAGATCCTCCAAACAGCGACCCCTTGTCAAAGGCATCTTTCCAGGTAAAAGTTACACAGATCTGAAAATATAAATAAAAACAGTAAATTAATTTCTAGCTTTAAGACAGGTATAAAATGTTCCAAAAAGGAAGTTTTATAAGAAAATTCAATCTATGTTAAAGAAAATATATATTAGAGTTCCTTTTACATTAATTATTTTACTATTATAAACAGAATTGGGTGTACAGTCTTTGTTTTAATATACATTTATGCAATTCAATTAATTGGACTATTCTTAATTTCTGTAGAGTTAAGTATATACAGAAATTTTCTTGAGAAACTAATACATTCCAAAACTGTGGTTGATATGTATCCTTGTGATCCAAAAGAGTATTTTCACACTGTATAATAGATGCCTCTCCAACACTGATGTCTTCACAGTCTCACTTATTTTAATTAGGAAATATAACTTAAAAGTATAAGATTCATTCAAAAGCAACTTTATATTCCAATGTCAAATACTCTCTTACACAATATATTGCATTTTAAAACAATATTTAAAAGCTTTAATACATTACCTGGTTTTCAGAAAATGGAAATTTTGGTTCTATGGAACACAGTTGATCATAGTATCTGAAATAAACAAATCAACCCCCATAAGTGTATATGTTGTTGCAAATATAACAGATCTGGAATCCACAAACCCATGAATGAGATGGCTCTCTATCTCTACATGAACACATAGTCAAATCTTCCTTTCCCCCGTGTGTGTGTGTGTGTGTGTGTGTGTGTCTGTGTCTGTGTCTGTGTATACAAAGATTTTGTGTGACCAATTTTTTAAGTAAGATGTATAGCAGGTTGATTAATATTCACCTAATTAATTAGTATGTGTTTTAAGAATGTAATATGTTTTATGAATTTCACTGAGTGAAATTAAAAAATCTATTTTACCAGAAAATATTTTGTCTTTTTAAAATATAACGAGTGCACTTCTAGAGAAAGGCCGGGCAAAGAATGGGGTTTCCATTATCTTAGCAGCTGATTAAAGTTTGGAATCTCCAAAAACCTGGAAAAGTTCAAGAAGATTAAAACAGAGATACATTCACTTCAGAACATTTTCTTCCTGTAGAAATTATATGCACAGCTTGGAGTTTGTGGTAAGTTTTTTTTAAAATTCTATTTCTGATATTGTGCTATATTACAGGATCCAATCTGGGTTGGTCACCCGGATCCGAGTTTTTTGTCTTCCGAGCTTTCGGACTCTTGGTGGAGCCTCCATCCTCAGGGAAACTTCTCTATAACAGAAAGTGTGTGCTGTTCTATTTGTGGTATTCATAGTGCCTGTTGTAAGTGGCTTTTTAGATGTTGACTGAAGTGGGTTGATGGCTGGCTGTTGTCATTAGGTATCACTTGCTTGTGCTGCCCAGCCCTCACCTCAAATCATCACTCCTGTTGACTGATGAGGGGCCTGTTCCCCAGACTTCAATCACTTCTGCAACTGTTTTGGTGCCTGCTCATCCAACAATCTTAGTAGCTGCAAAATTGAATGTGTGTCCTTGTTCACTACAGTGTGAGGCTACCAATGAGTTTGGGTCTCCTCTTCCGACTGCTCGCTTGTGTTCTTGCAATCTGGTGCTTAGCTTCCTCCCCGTCTGCCCTACATAGTCACAGGGGAACCCATGCAGGGAATTCGGCAGATTACATTGGAAGTATCTTCCACTTCCAAGCAAGGTGGAATTGTAGCCTGGGAAACAGGCCCCTCATCAATTAAAAACCAGTCATCCACCGACCCCAATCAACATCTTAAAAGCCACTTACAACAGGCACTATGAATACCACACACAGAACAGTGCACACTCTGCTAAAGAGAAGTTTCCTGAAGATGGGCTCCAGCATGAATCCGAAAGCTTGGAAGACAAAAACTCTGTGTCCTGGTGACCGAACCAGATTGGATCCTGCAACTTCATCCTGGGACACATATATATTCGCCTTCAATGTGCTACGTCTTACAGCTAGTCCTCACTTAACAATCATTCATTCAGCAATTGTTCAAAATCCCTGAATTAAGGGATTTACAACCATTGCCCAAAGTTACAATCATTGCAGCATACCCCACAATCACATGACTGCAATCTGGGCTCTTAGCAATCTGTTCATTTTACAACGGGTTGCCAAGTCTCCACAATCGTGATCCTCAGAAAGTCCATAGCAAAGCCTGCAGGACAAACACAAGTCATTACTGCAGGAATCCATTTGGTTCCTGAGATCAGGCTGAAAAAACTCTGTTGAGACCCATTTTGTGATACATCTTTTTCAACCAGTTTCTTTGAAAGTGGAAGGACAGACTGTTGCCTGTTGCTGGCTAAAAAAGTCCTTTATGAAAACCAAGCAGGATTTTAGTATGGAGCATTTCCACCATGGCATCTGGAACCTTTTGCACATACAGGGCAGAGGAACTGGCACACTCTGTGGGAGAAAGTATTTAAGTTTTTTTTCTCTGGTGCAGTGTGTAGCAGTCCCCCTTGTCACCATGTGCGAAAGAGAATGCCATGCTTGGGCCAGAGAAAGAAAGGTTGGATCTTTGGGATCTGAGTTTTGATTCTCCGGCACAGAGTAGAAATTCCCTTGTATTCACAGAAGAATGCTGCCTTTCAGAAGATAGCTCTTTCATTCTAGCCTCTCAATGATCCATGTGGTCACTTAGACACTGCAATTGGGAAGGTGGAAGTGCAGTCATTGAGCAAGGCAGTCATCTGGGCACTTCGCTTAACAACTTCACAACTTTCAGTCAAAATGTCAGGCCCACTTGTGGTCATGCATGTTTTATCTTTCTGAAACTGGTATTTAATTGTGGTTCTTACTTTTACTTCAGGCAATGTTCGTGCAAATGTATTTTTTTCTTAGAATCTTATTATCATCTTTAATAATTTGAATTTTTTTTGTACTGAAATATTTTAGGCAAAATATTAAATCATAGCACACCATATCAGACATCAAAATATTCTATTTCGTTTCAGAAAATGTTTCTTAACTAATATGCAACATCATGTTTCAAAAAGCTTAGTAATTATTTTCTTCCACACTGAACCTCTTGCATATTATTACAATGTTTTGTTTTTTTTAAAAAAGCATTTTGGTTTTTTTAAAAAATGAAGCTTGATTTTATTTATCTTATGTGAGACCAGTTTATCCACCAAGGAAGAGAGAGAGAAATGAATCCTCTCCATGACTATATGAAATACAACCAGGAAGTGTTACTATAGAAATTATTTCACTTTTTGACTGTAACATAAAGGCAATATAAGGCACAAAAGCTCTTCTTGTCCACACTCCAGGATTACAATGTGGTTGTCAAGTTACCATGGAAGGCTAGGTGATAATCAGAAGAATTAGCAAGCTGCTCTACAAAAATAAGATGAGGCATTAAATGGGAAAACTAAAGAAGGTTTTGGATCCCCACTTCTGGGTTCAGCATCACTACAGATAGTCCATAACTTAGAACCACAACTAAATCCAAAAATTCAATTGCTAAGCAAGACAGTTAAGTGAGTTTTGCCCCATTCTTTTTTTGCCAAAGTTGTTAAGCAAATCATTGCAGTTGTTAAGTGAATCTGGCTTCTCCATTGACTTTGCTTGTCAGAAGCCATATGGGGAGGTTACAAATGATGATCACATGGCCCTGGATAGTGCCATAAAGACATAAATAAATGACATAAATACCTGCCGGTAACCAAATGCCTGAATTTTGATCCTACGACCATGGAGATACTGCAATGGTTAAGTCGTAAGTCAATTTTTTTCAATGCCATTTTACCTTTGAACAGTCACTAAACAAATGGTTGTAAGTCAAAAACTACCTGTGTAAACATCAAGAGAGGATTCACTCTTGATTAGGAAATAATGAAAATATGACCAACTATCTCCCTCGGGAGAAGGGCGGGGTATAAATTAAAGTAATAATAATAATAATAATAATAATAATAATAATAATAATAATAATAATAATAATAATAATAATAATAATAATAATAATAATAATAATAATAATGCTGAGATTGGAGAACACTAAGTGGTATCTTCCTAGCATTTTTCTTTAAGTGCAGGGTCCCCTGTTATCCATTGATTGCTGCAGGAATTGATCAACCAGCTTGTCGCCCAAGCCTGAGATTATAGGGTGATTGGCTCAAAGTCATCCAGCTGGCTTTCATGTCCAGGGTTTAGTCTGGTGCTTTAACCACTAGAGAAAATTGGCTTTCTCTTTTCATTACTTAGCTATATAACATTATATCCTGGTTAAATTTTATTTCAGTTAATATATAACCAGACCACACATCAATTCTTTATTTTATGGGATATTCTATTCTATAAGCAAGCATTCCTGACTTTGGAATAATTTATCTCTGAAGATTAAAAAAAATCTAATTTCCCAGAAGTATTTCCTGCACTCATGGTATTTTAAATGAACGAGCAATAGTTACAACTAAAATGTTGGACCAACATTAAGTTACTGATTTGATTTTTATACTGAACTGAAACATAATTTATGGTGCAAAATAGTGGGAAAATGTATTATCTGCATTTCTGTGCCATTCTTTCCAAAATTATTGTGATTATGAATCAGTTCCCATGCTTATGGGATCATATGGTTGTCTTGAGTATCAGTCACTGATCCATAATCACAATAATTTTGGAACAAAGTGGCACAAAAATGCAGGTAATACATATGCCCAATATTTTGGGTCATGAATCAATAACGAAAACAACAGAGTTAAAGCTCAGGCCATCTAGGTTTATAAATGCTTTTGCATACTACCCAAATATTAATTTTTAGTAAGAAATATTCTTGAATTAATGGAATTTTGTACAAAATAGTGTGCTGTACATGATGTTTTACTTGTAGATGAGTAACCTGCTGAACACCAATATTAATACTTTATCATTTGTATACATTATATATAATTTGTGTATAACAATCTATTTCATAAAGGTAATCATTTATGAAAATTTAAGTAATACCAAACTGTTACTTTTTCTAATTTAGATTAATCTACCCTAGATTTTTAGTTAGAGACATTTAGTATTTAAATATAATCTCCAAATTTCTGTAGAATACTGATATATTATCATTATTATTTAGCATATGATGAGAACATGAAAGAATTAAACATACACTGATACAATTGCAGGAACAATATTCTTGGCCTCCTTGGAAAATCATCAACCAGGAAACTAACACTTGCCAAATTAGTGACAATTCAAGAAATGTTATTGGAATAGTAATTTCAAAAACATATTTAATTTCTACTTCATTAAATATGTTTCATGTAATTCTAGAAATTGCATCTCCCGTGAATGCTTTCAAGCAAGATAAGCTAATAGAACTACAATCTAAAATTTCACAGGACAACTACAACCATTAAAGGGAAATTTGCACATATGGAGACGCATTTACATAAATATCATAAAGAAATCTACAATCACATAAACTTCCGGATCAGTTTTCCCTATACTGTAGTAGAAGAGGGTGACATTCAACTTTTCCAGTCCGGTTGTCTATTCATATTTACATCTTTTGGCGAACTCATACATCCTTCAGTAAATTGATTCACCCATAATCCAACTGTGAAGAATCAAAAATGAACTGGTTTCCAGAATGCCCAATATTTGAGGGAGGGGGAGACTGTGCCCAAATATTAGTCACAAAATAAATCCAGGAGGAAGAAAGCGTAACCTAGAAAAACAGGAGGCATCACTCTGCCCGCATCTCTGCTTCTACTACCCCGAGGACCGGCAAAGCACCAGGAATGAGCTCGTGACTTCTATTCAAGGTGTCTAGAGAAGGATGATGACAGACAGAGCGAGCGTCGGTTCCTTTATATTACCGTAACTCTCAGCTACTAACCCACAGTCAACAACACAAAACCATTTTCGTTGTTGTCGTTTTTCTTTTTTAAAGGCGGATGAGGAGGACCGCTTGGAAAGCATCCAAGTCGTCACCTCCACTTTCACCCACCCACCGGTAGCGTGGTGTCCAGTTGTCACGCCAGGCGAGAGCCACGGCAGCCGCCTACGCTTGGGAGCTGGCTCGATTTACTTGCTCGCAACTCAGCAGGCAAGGGCGCGGCCCACGCGCAGCCTCACTGCGGGCCCTCCCGCGCGCCCTCCCCCTCCCTTGCCATCCGCGCGCCTCACCTCAGGAGGGTCTCCAGCGAGCTCTCGTGCTTGTCGAGCGAGCGCCCGAGCGCGCTCTTGCGCAGCTTGCTGAGTTCTTCGGCGGCTCGGCAATGTTCGGCCTGAGACTCCCCACCGGGGTAGGTCTGCTGGATGAACTTGCAGAGAGGCTTTGCCAAGTCTACCTCCGAGGTTTTCTTTAGTTGCACTGTAATGAACGACGCCATCTTCGTCTCTTTCTCGTTCACTTCTCGTTCCCACCCCCCACTACTTATTTTCCTCCTCGACTCGACGCTGCACCAGATACTGCTAGCCGTTGTCCGCAACTCACTTCCTGATTCTACGTAAAAGTTCCGAGTCTCTATGGTACTCTCGGACCATCTGCGTCACGCTCACGCGCCCGCAGTCGCAGTGACTTGGCTCCGCCTATTCCCAAAGGATTTTACTGTAGCTCCACCCAGGCGCCTTTTACTTACTTCTCCGACTCTGCCCAGTATTTAGAAACGTTTTACTTCGTGAAACTTCCTGCTATTCATAAGCACAAAAGGTGGAGGAAGCAGGTTAGGGAAAGAGGGTTTCGCTGTTGGTGGCCTATTTCATATAATCTGTAAATCCGAAGAAAGTTTCCGATGCAACAAAAGCAAACGCATGTTGTCTTACCTTAAAAAAGTAAGATAAGACTGCTATCTTATGTCTGTTAATCTTTGGGATGACTGCAGAAAGGATTGTATAGCTCTTATATTGTAACTCTGGCATACTCATTTTTTTCCAATATATACATTCAATGAAATAGTCTCTATATATTATAACTAGGTAAAATGTGCCATTGTAGTGTGGAACAATCCAGAGAGAGAAATATTTTTGGGAATATTAAAAAAGCAGAATATATTTCCCTAAAGGATTTTAAAGGCAGAAACCAAACACACACACCCCAAGTCTCTGTCCCAGACAGAAACCAGGTCAGCAGAAATGCAGATGTGATAATCTTGTCAGAAAGATTGGAGTCAGGAAACTGGGATTAGAAAGAAAGATCCCTAGAATCAACAGACCCTCACACCAAAAATCCAACAGTCATCAACTACAACCCCAGGGAAGCAGGATATGACCTTTGGGACGTAATAGGATTAATTCACCACCATCAGAATACCAGAAAGGCACACTCAGATTCAGGTCAAAGTTCATGCCACAGGAACATGCCCTGGAAGGTCTAAAACCCCACTCCCTACTACATACCAGAGCCATCTCTCTGTCTAGCTGTCCTCTTCAATAAGCTACAACCTTCTTTCTAAAGCAGTCTCCATGTTTGTCTATTTCCGGCTTTGTTCAATGAGGTTCTTGTTATTGATGGATTGATTGAGCCTTCCAATTAACGTGGAATCCTGGCAATTGCCTGAATTCGTGTTTGTGGCCACATGAAGCATCCTGCAATTATGTGACTGTGATAGTTGTGTTGAAAACTGGCATTTCTGCAAAGTCGTACCCATAGCAAAGATTGGTTCACTTAACAACTGTGATTTTAAAAAAAGGTCATAAAATCAGACTGGCTATGTGGGTGACCCAAATTATGACTGTCATGAATTACGACAGTGATGGGCAGTCTCCATTAAGGACTCAAGGTATCATCATTCTGCCATTTCATTATTCTCTCACACTAAGTTAGGAAAGGCCACAAAGTACTTACTCTGCTGCTGAGTAAGCTATTTATAGCTATTGCACAATTCTAGTAGATTACCAGCTCATCTTGCTCCACTATATAAGAAGAATGGAAGAAGAATGATATGTATAGCTGAACAGGGCCTGGAGGGGAGTATATATTAAGTCTATTCTAATCCCACTCATGATCTTGCATCTCATGCAGCTGTTGAATTTTTTCAGCTTTAGGAAGAAAATCTTTTAACACTAGTATTGGTAACAATGATTTAAGGTCCCTTACATTATGGGACAAGGTAAAGGCACTGTGTCATGATTCCGATAGATGAGACCAGTAAAAACAGAACTTCAAGGCAAGAGTTTCCTTAAAGAACGTATGTATTGGCTACAAAGTATTGGCATGGTCAAAAGTTAAATCTGGAGTTTCAAAGATTATAATGTTACAAAGTTGAACTTCTCACCCCAGGACTATGTCATAAATCACATTCCCCAATAAACTACTTTGGCGGGCTTTCTAACGGAAGGCTCAGCCCACCAAAACCCAGGCAGCAATGACCTTGGTTCCCACAGGACAAATTATTGTTTAGTCTAACCTTAAAATCACATTACTGTGGCAACCGCAACAAAGCAGAAATGGCTTCAGCCAAGATCGTTGCAAATAGAAAATGCAAATAGAAAAAAATATGGCCATGTTGTTCATATCATGGTTGGGGGCAAATGGGGAAAAAAACAAGAATTACATTTTCATTTTCCTTAGGCTATGGGACAAAATGTTGTATAAACCAATATATATTAGTGTGTCTTATGAATTATTGTGCTTGATGTTATAGGTGTTATGTATTTTTCTACCACTTTGGTCTATTTTTATTATTATTATTTATTATTATTTAATGTTAATTATCTAGAATTCTTAGTGAATGTTTGTCATACAAATTGAATAAATAGATAATAAATAAATAAACTTTGAATAATTGCAAGAAATAAGATTGTAGCTCAAGAAGACAACAGTGTAGTGGCAAATCTCAATCATTTAAATTTATTTTTTATTGAGCATAACATTTCAGCCAGGTTAAATGGTCAACATGGCAACATAAGGTATATCCTAGTACAGTGGTGGCAGGCCTATGGCACACATGCCAGAAGTGGCACACAGAGCCCTCTCTGTGGGCATGCGCACCACCGCCGCCAGCAGCTCGTGCAGGTCCATTAGGTTGCCACCACTGCCCGGTGTGGCAGTCCCACGCAGCACAAAGGAGGCGAAGCAGCCGGCTAGCAAGCTCAAGTAGAGGTGGTAGAGTACACTCACACCCAGCAAGCCAAAGGCCATTCCATGTGGGGAAAGCTGGATCCCTATTGGCGCCATGGCTCCCCAGTCCCAGCTAGGATTGCGTGCCTTCCCATCTCTGCTGGGAATGCGCTCCACCCATGGTGAGTGCATGGAGGCCAATAGCATCTGGCAGCAGAGGCTGCATAGCCCACTGTGAATACCAGGCTGGCCCTCCAGCAGCAGCGCGGCAGCAGCACAGGGAGTGGGGGGAGCACGTGATGTGGGCCACTGGACACTCCTACTCCGTTCCATCTCCTAAGCCCACTCGGGGTTCTTGCCCTTGGCCCATGGGTGGAGCGCATTCCCCTCACACGCCTTGGTACTTACCACGGTCACCAGCCACTCGTGCAGGTCCATTAGGCCGCTGCCCATAGCTGCAGGCCCGCCCACCACAAAGGAGGTAAAGCGGTCAGCTAGGAAGCCCGTGTAGATGTGGTAGAGAACACCCATGGCCAGCGGGCAAAAGGCCACCCAGAGCGGGGATATCCGGATCCCCATCGGTGTCATGGCCGCCCAGGACCAGCAGAGATCTGGCTTTCCCCGCTCGGGGTAGCCTTTGGCTTGCTGGGCATGGGCGTGCTCTACCACCTCTACTTGAGTTTGCTAGCTGGCCGCATCGCCTCCTTTGTGCTGGGCGGGGCTGCTGCTCTGGGCAGCAGTGGCAGCCTAATGGACCTGCGCAAGCTGCTGGTGGCGGTGGTGCACATGCCCACAGAGACGGCTCTCCGTGCCGCTTTTGGCACGGGTGTTTTAAATATACAACTTAATGTTGTATTGTGTGAAACAGCCAACTACGGATTTGGTTGATTCCAAAATAGTTCAACAGTTACTTAGAGAAGACTAAATGCAGACATGCTCCATATTTGTAGCAATGGTAGTTGTTTGGTATTGCCACCTTGGACCATTTTTTTTAAAATTTAAGCTAGTATTGTATAAAAATAGAAAATCCAACATACCAAATATTATACTATCACTTATTAGAAGAGCAGAGGAAGGTATCTGGGTCAAGGTGCTATTCTAGATTATGGTGCAATGAATGCTTAGCGGTATCGTAATACAACAGAGCCACCAGGCTAAGGCACCAGGCTAAACACTAAGAAACTCTGTTCCAGGCCCGTCAGACATGAAAACTGGTTGGGTGAATTAGACCCAGTCTCTCTCAGGCCAACTCACCTCACAGGGTGATTGTTGTGGGAAAAATAGCAGAAAGGAGATATGTTCACCGCTTTGAGATATTTATAAAAAGAATAAAGGATGCATAAAAAGTTTTTTAAAAAAGTTTATTGTACCAGGCTTTAAAATATACCTATCCAAGTCACCAGAGGGCGCCCCAGATCAATCAGGGGGAAAAATGAAATATTCTGTGTGCTTTAAAAAAAGCAAAACATACTGACATTATGTGGGTGTCCAGGAATTTATTGTCAGCTTAAATGCGTGGCAGTATGTTAATTCATATAGTCATGCCAGTTTTATACTTATTACTTCTTCCAGACCAAGCAAAAGAATACATCGAAATGTCCTTGTTCCAACATTTGTTATCAATCATTGGTGCATCTGATGATACAAAGATATATATAGCAGTTATATATATAATATATAACTTAGATTTATGTTTATAAGACAATAGTAAACTAAAACTAAATACTTTTCTTGTTTTTCTAAAAAAGTTTACTGCCTCTCTGATTTATTTTCAAAACAGAAAAGGATTATTTATATAAAACAAGCTTTTCTTCTTTTGATATTCTGTTAACTTACAGTTTGTTTTTTTTATCAATTAACTGGGTCACACACAGCTGGCTTTCGGCATAAAATGGTTTATTGTCAAAAACAACCTATGACCCACATAGAAATTGTTTAAATTATAGCAAAAGGCTAAGAATGTGTTAGTTTGAAAGTGGAATACAGCCACTCCAAAATAGGCCAATAATTTCTTTATATGAATAAGAATTTTTAGGTGTACAGAAGTATTACACACTTATAGAAACTAAAAGAAAAGAATCTTAAACAGCTAAACTAATTAAAAATACTTGTGGGTATATAGATAAAATTTAGTAGAAACAAATAGACTGATTTAGAATTATCTAAATTAAGAATGGGAGGATTATGTCCCATTAGATATTGCCTGAAGTAACATAAAATACATAACAGTAATATAAAATACAACAAAAAGTATAATTTCAACATCTGGGAAACTACCCGTTTCCTTTCCAAAATATAAGCTAATCAAAAGCCAAATCAGATTCTAGGGTATGTTAGTTAAATCTACAGTTGAAACATCAAACACATGGTTATAGTTCAAAACACAATACACATTGTCACATCATATACATTGTGCTCAGTATATCTGTGAGGTAGTCCTCACTTAACTATAGTAATTGGGATTGGAATTGCCATCA